ATCCGCGAAGGGATTTGTTGTGGTACATGATTGTACCCGCGGGCGGAACGGCGTGCGGGGCACCACTCGTCGGCCTACCCGCGGGTACATGGCCCTGTGGGAAGATGTTCCCGTGGGCGGAACCATGGGTGGGGCACTACCCGTGGGTCCACCCGCGGGTACATGGTGGTGTTTGTCCGGGATTTGTTCCCCGTGATCCGTTTGACTCGGTATTTGGTTTTTTGACTTCCCGATATTCTTTGTGGAACTATTTGAGCGTCTTCTTGATGTTTCGTATGTCTAGAACTATATGGTAGGTATCCATGTAGGACTTTGGTGTCTTGAATCGTGTTAAGTGTTAAACATTGTGTTTCGTTGGACCAAGAGGTGTCTTATGTGTTCCTCAGAACTATCTTGAGTTTCTCCGTTGTTAAGCATGCTAGTTTATTGTCTTAATGCTAGCGTTTGTGTGGTTTGTACCTTCCGTTTGGTTGATGATAACTTGTGTTATCCATCGTTGATGTTGTTGAGCTGTGACCCGTTCCTTGATTGAGTATGTTTCATATCTTCGTTGTGATCCGTTGATTGATTCCTGTTGAAGTGTGATGCGTGTGTGGCTTTACCTGGATTGCACGATTAGTGGTATGGGACACTAGTCACCAAGGTATTGCAGCGGTCCTCGTGGTGGCCGTGACGTGATTATGGAGTTGTGGCCTTTGTGTAAGGTTCACGTTTATGGGGGATAACATGTGTTATCTGGGCATGTGTTGCCGTGTACGGTACCTTGTGTACTATGAATTGGTGGTATTGTTGGTGGTCGTTAGTGGGGGACGACGGTCCCGGGGGAATAAGGTTGGACTTGGCTGTACAGGGGTCCTGGAGGTAATGGTTGGAAGAAGATATAAGGTTGGGGGTAGCCATAAGGTTGGAACAGGGCATAAGGAAGGCATATCAACTCGTGATGGGTGATGTCACGAGGGCTTGTGTAGCCGTTGTTGTGAGTTCTCTTTCTTGTGACGTGTGTAGTCACAAGGGCATGTGTTGCCATCGGTCTTGTCTTTATCCTTTGTGTTGTGGTTAACCTTTGTGGTTTGGGATGTGTTCCCGTGTTATCTTTGAGAGTGATGAGTCTTATGTTGACTGTTGATCTTGGCTTTTGACTTATATACTTATGTATTCCGTTTCGAAAATGGTTTTACAACTTATATCTATCTATATATGATATTTCACATGTATTGGTGGGTTACCAGCATTATCGCTGACCGGGCGTCGTCCCAATATTTATCTTTGTATCTTTCAGGTGATGTTTAGACGAGCGCGATGTCTAGTGCCTGGTAGCTTAGTACCTTTATCCTTGTTTTGTGGCCTATGCGCCAATGTAGTTTTAGACTGATGTCTTTGGGATAGATGTATACACTTGCAGATTGATCGCCGTAGCGTTTACCGTGTTTGGTAGACGTGGCATAACACCCCGTTTGGATTTCTTTTATCCAGTTTTCGTTTTATCTTCTTCCGCTGTTCTAGTTTTGTTGTATGATCTGCAGGTGTTAAGGCCTTTTATATAGGTCGTGTTTGGGGGGGGGGGGTGTTACACTTAGGTTCTTCAGAAGTAGGTTGTTCCATTTCTTTGTTAGGAGGAGATGTTGGTTGTTGAGAACTAGGTGTTAGGAATAAAGTGTAATGGTTTTGATATGCCAAATTTGTACTTGTAGATCCCCCAATTTTGTTTATAGGTCTAGTAGAGTCTTAAACCATGATCGGGAAATTATTTAAATATGAAAAGAGAAAAACAGAGGAAGATGGATTAAAATAGAAGAAGAAGATATAAAGCCGAAAATCAAGAATTTGTCTGGAGAAAATGACAAATTGAAGAAGAAGATGAATGATACAATAATTCACGTCAATGCTACTCAAAGAAGATATCCCAGAAGAATTTTCGTGAAGAAAATTAATGTTGGAAGAATGCATGAAATTGACTTGGAGATCAAGCATCTATGGAAAGAAAGGAGTACATCAAATATGATTGGAGATTTAATTAAAAGTTGTACGGATAAAGTGGATGATGCTTGATATATTATGTGAAATGGCTCAAGTTCAAAACTCACCATCAATAATTTTACAAGGTAAAATTTGAGAAGCAGCCACATTAAATTAATCTGATGGAGTGCCCATCTGAAATTGGGAGCAAGTTTCACATGAGAATCAATTCAAGATGGAAATTGGGAGCAAGTTTCACATGAGAATCAATTCAAGATGGGAGCCAATGTAGAATGAAATTGGGAGCCCCATCTGAAATTGGGAGCAAGTTTCACATGAGAATCAATTCAAGATGAAAATTGGGAGCAAGTTTCACATGAGAATCAATTCAAGATGGGAGCCAATGTAGAATGAAATTGGGAGCCAATTGAGGTTGTAGTATGGGATGCAATTTCAAGTTGGGGACCGATGGAGATCAAATTGAATTGAAAGCACCAGGAGCAGTTTGGGAGCCAAATGCAAGTCAAAGTCAATTGGGAGTCAATTACAATGGAGAAATTCAAATTGGGTGTCAATTACAAAGGAGAAATTCAAATTATGGAGAAATTCAAATTGGGTGCCAATTGAAATTGGGTGTCAATTACAAAGGAGAAATCAAATTGGGAAGCAATTGAAAGCAAAGTCAACAATTCAAATTGGGAAGCAATTGAAAGCACCAGGAGCAGTTTGGGAGTCAAAGTCAATTGGGAGTCAATTACAATGGAGAAATTCAAATTGGGTGTCAATTACAAAGGAGAAATTCAAATTATGGAGAAATTCAAATTGGGTGCCAATTGAAATCAGGTGTCAATTACAAAGGAGAAATTCAAATTGGGTGGAAGTTCAAAGCCAGTTTGAAGTCTGAGAACACCCAGACGTGAGAATGAAGAAGATGAAGATGAACTTACACCCAGACGTGAGAATGAAGAAGATGAAGATGAACTTACAGTGAAAATATTCTCACAAGGAAAAATACTAGTTTAACTAGTATGGGATTGACGTGAGAATGAAGAAGATGAAGATGAACTTAGAGTGAAAATATTCTCACAAGGAAAAATACTAGTTTAACTAGTATGGGATTAAATTGATAAATATTTTTAAATCCCAAAGATACAAAGACCACTTCAGAGCTGATCAGAGAAGCCGTTCTACACCCAAATATTCCCACTCAACGTTAAACCAGAGGAATATCAGATGAAGTTTGGGAGCTCATTTACATGGAGATGAAGCTCTAACAACGGCTAGCTTATCCTTTCTGACATCTTTGCAGAAGATAAGATAAGATCTCTGACAAAAAGATACAAGATTTAAAAAATAAGAGCGTCTCTTTCCAACGGACAGATTCTCATTACCAGCTATAAAATGATGAAGATATGAAGACTTGAAGATGGGGAACTTACGAACAAGAGAGCAGAAAATTCGAAACTCATCAAGAGATCGAATAGAGCAATTAAGCTTGAAAAGAGCATAGAGCAAGAATCTCATTTGGTACAGAGCATACCAAAAATCTTCAAGTGAGAAGTGAGAAAAGAAAAAGAACTCAGAGAGCTTCAAAAGAGAAATATTCTGAGAGTTCTTAAACAGAGCAAAGCATAGCAAAAATATCAAGTGCTTTACTTGATATATTCACAGAGAGAAAACACTCAGAGCTATCAAGAGAAATCATTCCAGAGTGTTTATCTTCATCAAAGAGACCTGCGCATCATTGAAGATCATCTACAGAGTCTCAGAAGTTGGAAGCAAGACAACATTTGTTTTGGAGCAAAACAAGAGAAGGGAGGAAAGTAGCACGGAGCTGTGAAATCCTGGATTGTCACACAGAGCTGTGAGATCCGAAGCAGCAGTGTCGGAGGCACTGGGCGTGATTGGTGTGGGCTTGGTGATCAAAGCACCAGATCACGGGATACGTTTCTACCGGAGTGTGGAAGACGGGGGGAAAGTAACGCGGAGTCATGAAATCCTGGGATAGTAGCGCGGCGACGTGAAACCCGAAGCAGCAGTGTGGTGTCACTGGGCGTGATTAGTGCGGGCTTTGTGATCAAAGCACTAGATCACGGAAATTCACTGTATCTTGGAACCAAGGAGTGGTAGATATAGTGAATTGCTCTTGGAGATAAGAGCAAGTGGAGTAGGAGGATTACACCACCTCGCGAACCACTATAATTGTCTTGTGTTCTTTACTGCTTTCTTTACTTACCGCTCTTTACATATTTGCTCTACACGAGATATACTGCTCACACAATCTCACACACACTTTATGTTTATTTATTTTCGCTGTGCACCATACTCTAACAATCTAGTTAAGAGTTTTGGTTTATCTCTGGCTTAGCAATTGTTGTGCTGTGCGAAAAAGTTTGAAAGTCTATTCACCCCCCTCTAGACTTTCACCTTACCTCTTTTGGGACCAACACTAGGCATTTCTGAGTCTAAATCAAATTCGGCATAAATACTGGTAGCACTACCACTATAGATCACACTAGGAGATGTCGTCCTTTGAGTGAGGAATGGAAGATAAGGGAATTGATTTTGGGTTTCTTGGCTCTCTTTTATATCATCACTAATTTATTTTATGATGAAATGAATGATGATATAAAAGGAAGCCAAGAAATCCCGAATCAATTCCCCTATCTTACATTTCTAACTCAAATGACATCTCCTATTGTGATCTATAGTCGTAGTGTTACTGGTATTAATGCCAAATAGTTCACACTAGGAGATGTCATTTTGCTACAAAAAGTTCAAATTTTAATTAAAAACATGATACCCACAAACACTCAGATTGTATCATAGTAAGGCAGTGTGGGCTATATAGCCTATTCACAGTAATAGTCTAACAGCAAGTCAACAACAGCAAATCAACAATAACGCCATCCAGCAAGATTTAGCAACCAAATCATATTCATAACAATAATCAACAAGAAAAACAAGTAACTAATTATTACTTACTAAATACATAAAGATTAAAGAAAATATAAATTATTTAGTGAATGTGTTTAGTTGTTTACCTAGTCAGTAGAGGGCTAGAGGCGTAGAGTAGTGGAGCAGTCGTCAACCGAGCAACTCTCAGTCTGACAGTCTCTCACGGAGTCACGGAGTTATAGAGGAGTGGTTCTTGGTTCTCACGGAGCAGTGCTGCAGTGGAGATTGGAGTAATGGAGCAGTGGAGTAGCCAGCCGCTGTCGCCCGTCGGTGAGATTCGCAGTCGCTGGTCGCAGGAGTGAAAGGCGAATAGGCGGAATTAGGAATTTGAGTTCGCACTGCCACAAGAGAGAAACGCGAATATAATTATATAACTTATTTATGTCTTTTTTTTTTGTTTTTTTAATATACGGGACACGGGTTACCCAAGTTCAACCCGTTTAATTTATGTCCAATAGGGTTAAACAGGTCGGGTCAAATACGGGACGGGTCGGGATTTTTCCGAACCATCCCGTCCAAAACACGTGTAAAACAGGCCCAACTCGCTGGGTTAAGCCCGTTTACAGCTCTAGATACGATGCAGTTTTTCTATTCAAAGTGTGATCTTATTGGTTGGGAAAACAAATTGCATGTTGTAAAGAAAAGATGTATAAGCTATTTTCGCACTATGATAACGAGGCAAGTTTAACTTCAACTCAAGTATATCAATGAATGCATCTTCTTCACATCTTCAAGCACATTGCTCTTATACACCACAAATCAATTACTTTGGGGTAAGTGTTTTAACTTAATAAATTTATTTCAAATTTTATTGAATATGCTTTTAAGTTTTACTTGTGATATCTGCAATTGTGTAGGAGTATACTGATTTTTCTAGTGAAAATATTGGTGTTATTAAAAAATCTGAGCTAGATATATATCTAGAAGAGGGGAAGCTAGATCCTAATTCTACCAAGTTGGATGTTTTACAACGGAAAGAGCATCAAAAGCTAGATTTCAATGTCTATCCAAAATGGCTTGTGATATATTGAACATTCCAATTACTACAGTTGCAAGTAAAAGTTCTTTTAGCATTGGTTCAAGAGTTTTGACCAAGTATAGACGCTCCCTCCTCTCGAAATATGTTCAAGCACTCATTTGCACTCGCAATTAGTTGCAAGGATTTGATTGTGAAGGTATTAACGCATTATTATTATTATTATTATTATTATTATTATTATTATTATTATTATTATTATTATTATTATTATTATTATTATTATTATTATTTAATCATTATTTAATAGTTAATATAAATACTTATAAATTTAGTTAATTACCGATTTGGTCCCTTGACTATGAGGATTTCACCAATCTTATCCTTGACTTCTAAAATTTCTCAATTTAGTCTCCGACTATGCTTTTTTTTTTACCCGAAATGGTCATAATCGTTAGATATCCGTTAACTCCGGACCAAATTGGTAATTTCGCTATAGTCAATGGACCATTTCAATAATTAACTTTCGAAAAAATGGTGCATGTGATGACCGAAATGGTCCCTTGACGATAGAAAAATTATCAATTTGGTCCTGAGTTAACGGATGTCTAATGGTTAGGACCATTTCGGGTAAAAAAAAAGGCATAGTCGGGGACTAAATTGAGGAATTTTGAAAGTCGAGGGCCAGATTGGTGAAATCCTCATAGTCGAGGGACCAAATTGGTAATTAACTCATTATAAATTTCTAATGATTTATTTTATAAATTTATGTAGATGATGAAGATATTAATATCGATGAATCGATTGAGAAGGCTTCTAATGTTCTTGGTGAATGATGATTGTATTTTCAAGTTTTAAAAGTACTTTAGAGTTTAATTTTATAAGATTTGTAAATTCAATTATTGATTTATTGTTTTACTAATTTATTCTTTATTTTTTCTTAAACACGTTACAGTTACAATGATGCTATTGGGAAATGATGATTGATTAATGCAAATGAAGAATTGTCTTTGTTGAATTGTAGTCACTAGTCACTAATGGATTTATGGGCTTTTGGATTTAAATTATGTTTGAATGTTTGACTTGTTTTGGACTTTTAGTTATGTGGGACTTGAAAACTTTGAATGTTTTGTTAAGTATTGTCAATTATTTGAAACTTGTAAGATTGTATTGAAAACAATAAAATTTGAATGTTGAATCATGAATCTTGTGTTGGAACTCGGAAGAATCAAGAATTGAAACATTTTAAATTTTGTTATGTATTAATTTTGTCATTTAAATACAAAACTACAAGTCTACAAGTTTACAATTCTACAATTAAATTGTAAGTGTGAATTTATTAATTATAACAATTAAATAAATCATTTCACAAAAATATTTAAATAATTTCTTTAAAAAATTTACGGCCTGACGGGTTGGCCCGTTTAGCCTGTATACCACGGGTTGGGTAGGGATATTCCCAACCCGTATGAAAAACGGGTCTGTCCCTGTCAATTTTTTGCTAACCTGTGACAGGCTAACCCGTATTGACAACTCTACGTATAACAGAGTTATGGTCAAAAAGCTCTCAACCTGTCCCATAGCGTCCTATTTTATCATTTTTGCTTCAAAGTTTCTGGAAATCAAATATTAACGCAAAAATTACTAATAACAGTTGTTCTATACATGTTTAATCCATTTTTTTGCCATATACAATACAATATATTGCCTTAACAAAATTGCACCTTTAAAAAAAACGTGTTTTGTAATTTGTTATATTAAAAATTAAATAAAAACAAGCCAATAATGCAATTCTAGAAAAATGTTTACAAATAAAACACAATCTATTTAAATGGAGAATAAAGAGATCTATCGATGAAAGAAAAATAGAGATTACCTTACAGTATTTGCGTATGAAGGTTGTTTCCTCTAAATCCAATATGCTTTTTCATCTCCACACCGATTTAGTAGGCTATTCGTCTTATCGATTCCTTCATTGATGTGTATGGGTTAAAGATTTGAGTGATTTTGTTACCAGTTCCCAGAAGATCAATGTAAGCAATGTAAGGTAGGTTAGATTATTTGGAAGACAAGTAAGAAAGGTGGTCGAAAATGTTTATTTTTGGGGCGATTTGGTGAAAATGACCGGAAAATAGAAGTTTCTTTTATGGTGTTGGCCGGAGATGTGAGCGTAGCTTCTAGAAAGGATAGAGAGAGATGAGAGCGTACATACAGGAGAAGGAGTCAAGGGTTAATGTGGTATGGATGTCTGGATTAGGGTTTTGGTTTGAGTTTTTATACATAAACCTAGGTAAGATGGGTTGGGTTAGCACAACAAATTATTTTTGGGCCTTTTTTTTTTTTTTTTTTCTTATTTAACAGTTTTAATGTCCATTGGGCTATTATCTTAATATTGAACACACACACACACATGAACTACTGTAAATATAATTGTGTTTTATTTATTTATGTATGTATTTGTTTAGATGAATAAAATAATACTAATGATTATCTTCTACATGTATCTTTATTAAATGACATATATAATATATTTGGATTATGTATATTAATGTTTTATGTATGTATAATTTTCATGATTATGTTTATATTGTAAGTACATTTAAATTATTTAGATCCAAATTTCTAATAATACAATGCTTTTTAATATTTTTTTTTTTTGTAAAATATTGTAACGTTCATTATAAACAAACAATTCAACATTGTAAGATAAATATAAATATAAATATAAATATATATATATATATATATATATATATATATATATATATATATATATATATCACAATAAATTTTGAGGATTAATATTTTTTTATTTATTATTATTTTTTAAAATCTTATCAACATTAAAGTTATTTAAATTTTATGTCGTGCATTGTAGGGTGGAATGCTAGTTCCCTTCAAATAGGTAAAAGTCTTATGTGGATGATGAGAACTGAATGAATTGTATTGAATGAGATAATTACAAAGAGTCACAGGATGACTAGAATAAGGAGTTATAAACTGACTCAAATACATAGAGTCCTAATACTCCCCTTCAAGCACATGGTATACTAGTAACCTGTAGCTTGTCTCTAAGGGAAGAAAATCTAGGGCCAGGTAGAGCTTTCGTAAATATATATGCAAGCTGATATTTGGTCGAGATAAAGTTGACTTGAATATCTCCAAAAGACACTCTATCTCGTACAAAGTGATAATCAATTTCTACGTGCTTGGTGCGTGCATGAAATATTGGATTGGCACACATATAGGTAACACCTAGATTGTCACACCATAGCTTTGGAACAGAAATACCTGACACCTTTATTTTGCGTAGCAACAAAATAATCCATAATACCTCTACACAGACATCTGCTATGGCTTTGTATTCTGCCTCAGTGGAAGACCTAGCAACAGTTCTTTGCTTCTTACAGACCCAAGATATAAGATTAGTCCCCAAAAAACAGCAAAACTACTAGTGGACTTGCGATCTTCGGGAGAACCAACCCAATCAGAATCAGAAAAAGCATGAATTTCCTTTGACATTGATTTCCGTATATGCAACACAAACCCAATTGTTCCCTTAACATACCTCAAGACATGTTTCAGTTGCTCCCAATGTGATGTGATAGGAGCATGCATGTGCTGACAAAGCTGATTAACCGCAAAGGATAAATCAGGTCGTGTAACAGTGAGATATTGTAGTGCTCTATCCAGGCTCCTGTATTGCGTATGATCATCATATAAGTCAGCACTAAAGGGAACAATTTTCGAAATAGATATAGGAGTAGAAAGAGGTTTGCATTCCGCCATTCCAATACGTTTCAAAATATCATTCATATATCGTTGTTGAGACAATAGGATTCCATCATCACATTAAATAGTTTCAATGCCAAGGAAAAAATTTGGTTCTCCAAGATCTCTAATCTTGAAAGTGGCAGACAATTTTGAGAGTAAGTGAGTAACTAGGGCCTGATCACTTCCCATTACAAGAATACCATCCACATAGACCAACAAATAAACCAGTGCAGAATCTTGAGAGAAATAGAATAGAGAGATATCTGTCTTTGATGCTTGAAAACCAACGGATATTAAAAAACGTGTGTAAACGATTAAACCAAGGTCTAGGTGTAACACCCCAAAATTTTGAAACTTTTAAAACTTATATAATAAAGGTAAATTCTCACTAAATTCCAAAACGGAGTATTACTAAACATAAGAGTGCGGGGTTCTATGCCACATCTGAGCTGGAGAACTCAGATGCACAGGCTAAACTAACTAATTATCCTCAATACATCATCATGACACGCAAGCCGAAAGGAAAAACTATCTAACTAATCCAAGTTCTTCTAGCGCGCTCTGGAAGCTAATCAACTGTGCCTGAAAGCCAAATATATATGTTCAGCGAATGATGCTGGTAACCCACTCCAACGCGTTGAAATACAATATAGGTAAATATATACATAGATATATGAAAACCATTTTCGAAGCAGGAAGATATATACTTAGGAGACTCTAGCTTTAAACCCAGGAATAGACTCGACAGGTAGGGATAAACACGTTAAACAATGATAATCAGTTATATATAGACAATATCATGAAGAACACATATCTAAGGTCACAGTTCACATTCAAATCATTCACATCAATATTTAATCAACATTCTTGTCACACAAGCACACTTTGGTGGCGCCACGGGACCAATCGCATGCCCCGAACATGAGGGTTAGTACATATAGTACTAACACGGCCCCGCAACACCCTACCTCATACCGTAGTATGAAGGGGTTGATCGCAACCAACCGTATAGACCGTCGATAGTTCCAACGGCGGATCACAGCCCTACACACCGCTGACGCGCTCAGTCGGTGGACTGTGATCCTCTTTCGGGGACTGCGACCCTGCACACCGCTTGACGAGCTCAGTCGGTGGGTCGTAACTGTAACACCCCAGATTTTCAAGACATTTAAAACTTATAATAAAGGTAGAATCTTATTAAATCCCAAGATATAATTACAAGCGTTCGGGGTGCTATGCCACACCTGGGCTAGAGAACCCAAGTGCACAGGCTAACTAACTAATATCCTCAAAGTGTAAATACGTAAACGTGGCACGCAGGCCAAAAGGGAAACTATCTACTTCTAAGTTCTAGCGCACTCCAGTGACTTAATCTTCTGTGCCTGAAAGCCAAATATATCTGTTTAGCGAGAGATGCTGGTAACCCACTCCAACGCGTTGAAATACAATACATATAGAGATATATATAGATATACGAAAACCATTTTGAGCATGAAGATATATCCTACGAACTCTAGCTTTAAAACCGGGAATGACTCGACAGATAAGGCCCGACACAAGCGACAGTTATAACGAGCATATGCAGTTCACAACAGATAAGGCAGATAAGGCAAAGCATAAACAATAATCATAACCCAACATGAACAATCCCCAATATAAATCCCATAGTCACATCCCCCAAGACACTCATAATCACAACTCCTCCATATCACAACACATAACACACTTTGTTGGCGCCACAGGACCAATCGCATGCCCATACATGAGGGTCAGCGCATATAGCTCTGACACGGCCCCGCAGCACCCTGCCCCGTATCGCAACACGGAGGGGTCGATCGCAACCGACCGATGAACCGCAGCTCATCATAGTGTTTGATCGCAACCAAACAGTGGACCGCAGCCCAAGAGAGTGTGTCATCTGACTGTAGCCAGGAATTCCCATCTGACTACAGCCAGCCTCTGAACCGCAGCTCAGGAAAATGTCATCTGATTGCAGTCAGGAATTCCCATCTGACTACAACCAGCTTCTGGACCGCAGCCCAGGATACCGTCATCCGACTGCAGCCAGGAATTCCCATCTGACTGTAGCCGGCTTCTGAACCGCAGCTCAGGATAACCAATCCGATCGCAACCGAATTGGGGTAACACGCACACATAACACATAGCAAGCACATGCAACCCACATTACACATTGGGAAGGGGGATAAAGCGTATAACAACCTTATGCGTGATCCGTCACGTACTAAGAATAGTCCTAAGGGGTTCATACTTCTTCCACCTAGGTCAACGGGATACCAATTCAACTAGCATGCAATATAATAGACTCATAAACCTACGAACGGTACCCGAAATACCAAACTAGACATAGGCACGACAAACGGGGTCCGTTGGGACACCACGGGGATCGGGGAAACATCAAACGGGGAAGCCGGAGTCCCGGGTGGGATAATTTTCCAGCGGGTAGCCGGTGGGTGGTGGGCCACCCGCCGGCCACCCGCCAGTTTCTACTGTTCCGGGCAGCGGGGCGCCGGCGGGCAGCTGCCCGCCCGCCGGCCACCCGCTGCCAGGCGGTGGTTCACGGCTACGGGTAGGTGGCGGGTCCCCTACCCCCCACTGACTCTTTTCACACACTTTACGCCCCGGGAACCGTTGTGGAACCCGAAACCATGCTTAGACACTTTACAACGCATTTAACGACAACACATAGACAATTAACGGATCAAATACGATAGACGAACGGCACATAACCTAACATGCTTTTCTAATCATAATCAACACCCAAACATGCGATTTCCCCACCCGATAATCCAAGAATAATAACATACGATAAAACCTAGGGTTCTAATCACTTTTATATCAACAAGAATACGATTCATCTTCTAATTGCAAGATTCGGTAAGAATAGCACATAAACATCAAGGATGCCAATTACTCATCAAGAACATCATAATCATCAAGAACAACACATAATCATCAAAATCCCAATTAATTATCAAGAACATCATAATTATCAAGAAACTCCCAATATCAAGATTATCAAGATTCCCCATGGAATCATTAAATCAATATCAATAATAATCATAGTAATTCGCCATTTACAATCGTATGGGGGAAACCCTAAGGGGAAATCATAGCTATGAAAATAGGTTTTGTTGAGACATGGGTTACCTCTTAGCCTTAATTAATTCCTTGGCTATGAAGGATCTTTCTTTAAGCTTTCTTGATTTCTTGATTTCTCCTAGGGGAATTCTTGGAGCTCTTTGGGTGTTGAGTCGTTTATTGTGGTGGGGGGTTCTAGGTGCCTCTTAAGTCTCCTATTTATATATTTAGGAGTCCTAATTAGGGACTAATATTATAGGCTTACTAATTCTATTCCTTTTGGGACTAAGGATTGGGTTCCATGGTCCATAGTGGACCATATTAATTAATTAAAGAGAATCCTAATCATAATCTGAATAGTAAAAGACCTACTTCCTTTATTCCTAATAGATAACTAGGTCTAGGATTCCTAATCAGAATCTGAATAGTAAAAGGTTTACTTTCTTTATTCCTAATAGGCTTAAGGCTCTAATTTAGGCAAGGGCCCACGGTTCATGGTGGGCCTTATTAATTAAATAAAAGGGAAACCTAACTGAATTAAATCATATTTAATTATTATTAACGGGATTAATTAAATAATTAATCCGGGATTGAGGGCCGTAACACGGGGTGTTACAGTAACCGATCAAAGCCCTACACACCGCCTGAGGGACTCATTCGGTGGGCAATGATCTTCGGGGACTACGACCCTACACACCGCTGGCACATACACTCGGTGGATCGCAGCCGACCATAGCCCTACACACTGCCTGATCACTCATTCGGTGGACTATAGCCTTCCTCAGGCTAGTGGCCCTACACACCGCCTGGCGCGTCCAGTCGGTGGACCATAGCACATGAGGCCCATGTGAACCGCAGCCCAAGAAGTGAGTCACTGACCGCAGCCAGGAGAATGAACCGCAGCTCATGAGTAACCAGTTTGAACGCAGCCAACTTCTGAACCGCAGCTCAGGAATAACCAATTTGATCGCAACCAAATTGGGGTAACATGCTCACATAACACATAGTAACACATAATAGCACATTTGGAAGGGGGAAAACATATAAATAAACTTATGCGTGATTATCCACATACTAAGAATAGTCCTAAGGGGTTCATACATCTTCCTCCTAGGCCAAAGGGTTACCGGTTCAACTAGCATGCAATAAACGGGACTCTTTTATCCTACGAACGGTACCCGAAACATCAACTAGACTCATGCACGACAAACGGAGTCCGTTGGGACACCACGGGGATTGGGGAACATCAAACGGGGAAGCCAAAGTCCCGAGGTGGGCAACAACCAGCGGGTAGCCGGTAGGTGGAGGGCCACCCGCCAGCGATAAACCTCCGGGCAGCGGGTGCCCGGCGGGCAGTCGCCTGCCCGCTGCCGGCGGTGTCTCATTGGGCAGCGGGCAGGTGGCGGGTCCCCCCTACCCCCACTTACCCCCCACTGACTCTTTATCAAAAATAACCGTCCCGGGATCCTTCGTGGAACCCGAGACCATGCTTAGACACCTTTAAACGCAAATAACGACACCACGTAGACAATTAATGGATCAAAAGCAAGAATCACATAGAACACATCCTAACATGACTTCTAAACATAATCAACACCCGAACATGTGAATTCCCACCCAAATATGCCAAGAAAATCCCAATACGAAATTCATGATTCAACCTAGGGCTCTAATCATATTTAAATCACAAATCATGCTTTATCTTTAAAAATCAAGAACATCAAGATCTATCAAGAACATCACACAATTATCAAGATCCTCTTATCATCATCAAGATCACACACAAAATCATCTCATCAATTATCAAGATCATATCGCAATTATCATAGAAGATTTCATCAAGACACAAGCATAGAATAGGGAGCCAAAGAAGAAAATTATAGCAAGGAAAATAGGTTTTGTTGAGACATGGGTTA